GGATATTGCCATGGACATTGCCATTGCCATGGCCATTGGCATGGCACCCACAACAACCAGTGGCAGATAGCAGCAGATTATCTTTTCGGAAGCCATTATCCTTATGCAGATGGAAGGGGCCAAGGCCAAGGGGGAGCCTCTTAATGGCTACGTTTGGTTGAATGATTTCAATCGTTCTGAACTCTGAACATGTTTGGTCTGCTTTCTCTGTGTCAAATTGTAGATGATTTGTAATTTCTCCTTCTCTTTGCCTCCACTTTAATCCGCAATAAGTGGGTTTGGTTCTGTAATAACAAGGATTATAATCCTATGGAATACGCTTCTTTCCGCAGAATTCTCTCTTTCGGTAGAGTTGCGGCTCCCTAAAGAAAATACGAGGGTTAAATAAGAGGTTGTTTATTATTAAATTTCCATATGACATTTTCGTTATTTCCGCGTCCAAATTAGGGGCAAATCGAAATTTTTGTAGTATGACAAGGGAAATATATATATATATATATATATATATAATATCAACAAATTTTACTAATATAAACTTAATACTAATATTTTTTAAACTTATATAAAAACTGGTGAAATGTGTATTTGTTATTAATTTTTTATTTTTATAATTCTTTCAAAAATATTTATCAACATCCACATTTTACTGAAATTTCTATAAAATTTGATCAAAATAACTTTTAAAACTTTGTCGATCATATTTTGTTTATTACAGATGTGTATATTTATTTATTACCACAGTTCGAGTTGTGAGTTGGAGATCAAATCATTTGAGCCGAGTACCTTTCTGTGAATTGAGATAATATTTAGCTTAGAATAACGGGGTTGACTTTTCTGAAACTAATGGACTTAATACTATTATCCAAAGCAAACACAAAGGCTTAATCTCGGCCCAGGTTCAGGCCCTGAGTGTAAAGTACTCTTCGACTTTGGGCCAAGCCAGTCCAATCTCTAAAAGCTAAAGTCCTGATCCACCAGATGGACTTGGTTCATGGATCAAAGTTTTGATGGTGTAAATGAATTGGGTTGTGTCATCAAAGTTTTAAACCATATCCTAACCCTTAAGTAAAAATAAATAAATAAATAGATAATGTCTTGGATAAACTATTTTGTAAAACTTACAAATGGTCCAATGTTTACAAATTTTACCGTCTTAGATTTCTGGATTTAAAACTTTTTCAAATATCAAATTTGCCCTTATTTATGGCATTTATATTTATTATAATTTGTGTTTTATTTAAATGCAAAAGATTAATATTTCAAATTTGAATTTTGTAAACATTAAATTATTGTGGGACCTAAATCAATCATTCTCATAATTCCCTAATTTACTTTTTAATATATTCTACTAAAGAATGAAATTTATTACAAAATATTCAATTATTATCGTAATCCCCAAATTTACTCCTTAATATATTCTACTAAATAATGAAATTTATTACAAATATTTTTTCATTTTATTACATTTTTTAGTCAAATTTCAATAATATAGTCATTATAACATACACTTTTATATATACATACATATATATATATACACACACACATATATATATATATATATATTTATTTATTTATATAGAGATATAAACTATATCCGACTACCTTTCCAGTTATATGAAAATATAAACTATATCCGGCTATAAACTTAAGTAACATACACTTAACAATGGTGATATAAACTATAGCCATTATAACATACACTTATATGGAGATATAACCTATATCTGGCAATAAAGTATATACGACTATATCCCTCTACAATTAACAAACAAAGCAAATAACCTACAAATCTTCCGGTCGGGGACTAGACAATAGCCGAGATAAATGGAGGGTTGGAATGATCGACGGGCGGCCGACAACAAAAAAGAAACCTCGGGATAAATGGACAGAAACAATGGACGGGCGACCGGAGACGAAGGAGAAGCTAGACGGATTATTCCGGCGACGAAGAAGAAGGGAGACGACGACTGGAGACAAAGGAATGGACAGAAACAGAACGATAGACGAAGAAGAAAAGCCAGAGGAATGCGGTTTTCGAATTTTTTCAATAATGGAGGATTTTGGGGATTTGATATTTTTCACTTTTGGGAAGTCTAATTATGCAAAATTTAATGGATTTAAGATGTAACTTCCCAAGTAGGCATTTTTAAAATTAATTAATATTAAGGTGAGATACAAAAGGATATATTAGTAAATTGGGTATGGGTACGAAGTTGTTTCATAATCGTATAAATTTTATACAATTCAATCATTTTATGTAATTATAGTCTCTAAATAGTGTACTAATCCCATAAATAAATAACTTTTTCACTTCATTCAAATATCCGACTTTTTGGTCAACGGGTGAAGTTGAAGCAGACACGGTCAGTATAAAGAATGTTTCTCGAGCTCAGGTACGGGCGACTCAGTCACATGTGCTCGACYGAATATGCAGCCATGGAACTGCAAAATCCCTCGTGATACTCCAATTCCGATCAATCGTGCTTGTCAGCCTTCATCACCGCAGGGTTCCATCTCAAAACCAATTGTCGGGATCAGTAGTCATGTTTATTTATAAACTATTGTTAGGTACCCTCTCTTTTCAATGTGGGACCCTTAACAGTAATCTTTGAGTTGAACATAATCCTAGGTAGCATATTCCTACTTAGATCTATCTTTGTATCACACATATACTTGATGAGAGAATCTATGGGATATATATATAGAATTTTGAGAATAATTTAACAAATTTTGAACAGAAAAATCTAATTAAAAAAATGTTAATATATACTAAAAGGGAAATGAAGAACTAAAAAAGTATCAAAAAGGCATAAAAGATTAGATTTCTTAGCTATAAAAAATTACATGTTAAAACTGAACTATAAAGAAAGGAAAACTTGAATGATTGCTACCCGGAGAGGGGCATTGTGGACATTTTCTTTTTCCAAGGACGAGTTTTGAGTTGACCGATTGACTTAATTTGTAAGTTTGTAACAAAATTTTCCAATTTTCAGATTTGTCTTTCTTTGTTAAACCTCATAGTCCGAGGACGTAGAATAATCGAGATTGCACTCTTTAACTAGAAATCATCACTTTCACACATTCTTACATTTCAACAGCATAAGTTTTTAGAAGATGTTACAACTTTTCATTTTTTTTCTTTGAATATATAGCATAAATGTAGAATATGGTTTCAATAAAATTGAAAGCTTTATGATGTTAGGTTTAAAAATACATATAATGTAAATGCCTGTGCACCTATTTTATTTGAATACAGCTTGGAGTGGGCCTGGGGAGAGGGACTTGTCTCATTGTCTCTTCTCCCCAGTGTCAAAATTATCATGCGGATATGAGACTTTTTAGTACGCTTATTTATATGGGACAAATTTAAAGAAAAGTCACACCGACAATTCCTTATTTGATTGGTTCAAAGATTTTTTCTTTCTTTCTATATTTTTTAGCACAAATCCACAAACCACCACAAATTTCTTACACCACAGTCCATGAATGTGGGGTTCACGAGGAAATAAGGCAGGCGTAAGATTGAACCACTACTCACCTCTAAAAAAACGATAAAAAATACTTTAATTGTTGAGCCAAATTTCAGGTTAATGACATGATAAATATTTAAGATTTGAAGAAGAAAAAAACTGCTATTTCCAATTCCATCAAATTATTGATTTAATTTAATTATACTTAAAATATTAAATAGTGTAGAGTTTAATTTGTTGGATGAAAACAAAAAGGCAAATTGCACACGAACCATTCTTGAAGTATTGTGGTTTATTATAATTTCTCTTCAACTTTTATTTGTAGAAGTTAGATCTTTACCTTACAGGTTTGCAAAATTTGCGCTCTTAAAATTTTAATGGTGGTAAAACTTCAAAATCCCGTTGCAAGACTGTAAAAGTAAAAAATTAAAAATTTTTACAATCTTTTATATTTTAATTACAATTAAAAGTTTAGAGATATAAGTTTTACCATAAGTTTTGAAGTCTAATTTTACCATCTTTTAAGTTTAAGAGTGTAATTTTCAAAATTAAAAATTGAGATGCTTACAAATCTAGCAAAAAAAAAAAAAAATTAATAGTTAATCACAAATATAGAAGTTTTTTTAATTTACAAACATAGCAAAACGCATAGAAGTCTAACCCAATAAAAAAGAGTGGAAAAACGATTATACATATCCCATTGATATGTCAAATACGAAATATATCAGGATATACTTCATATTAGATATATCAATTATTTAATTGATATATCTAATATAAAATATATCTGAAATGAAGACAAAATTAGAATAATAAAAAACAAAAATTTGATTTTAGAAATTTTGCTATATTTATAAATGTAACAAATATTTTTGTTTTTTTTTTAAACAAACAAATATATTTGTTACACATTAATAATACTCTTATAACATCGGGGTGCAATTATCCAACATGATCCTTTTGCGTGTGCCCCACTTTTGTTTATTTCTCATCCCTGACTTGTGTGCCACGTGGCAGCATCCTCATTCTTGCTTTGGGGTTCTAACATTATAGTACGTCTACGTTATCAACGGTTAATTCCCATCCATTCCTACCATTTCCACCAAGCAACATCCGCCACTTCTACAATTTATATTATAGACTTAGAAAACTATATTTTTGGCCTAAGCAAAATTTTTAATTGATTAAGATATGTATTGAAACGATATTGAATTCAAAAAATCATTCGTTATTATCATTCACATTATTTTGAGTAAAATTATCATTTACACTTATGGTTTTTTTGTAATTAAGATTCCAGACTTTACATTCGAAAGATAATTATCTTTGAGCTGTAAAAGTGATTTCTTTGATTTTTTTTTAATGAAAACAACCGGAAAAATTGGAATTTAGAACCATCTCAATTTAATGTAAAAAAATAATCATCTCAATTTGTCGACATGAGAATTTCTTTGAAAGGAGAAACCATTACATTAAAAGGGTATGTGAGAATAATGCTGTGGTTACTTAGTGGTTTCATCCTTCACCTGTGACGTGTCCCACTATGCATTCTAGGATCAATTCCCAATAGAAGCATTTATGTTGACATGAGAATTTCAAATGTTAAAGGTGGAAACAAAACATAACCTTTTTTTCGTGGATGGAATGTTTCATGTCCTAATTTGGAGTCGTGGGATCCACTTTCTCTATCTTATAAATGACATTCATTTTTTAATGTTGGTATGCAATTATGATTTCTTATCTTCAGAGTTTACATCGATTCCATACTAATTGAGTGTAGAGTGTTTGTTCTCTTGGTACAGGTCTCTGCTCACATAAATCGTCACTCTAGCCCACCTTAACACTTGTTTTCAAGGTAATCAAATTTTTATTTAAATAACTTATTCATCAGCTAAAACTTAATTATATTTGTAATAAAGTAATTATTTTAAGTAAAGTTATTAATAACATGTTATATATATATATAGAAGTTCTAAGTTAGAAATCTCTAAGCTCATATAAAGTTATTAATCCGTTGGTCAGATAGACAGTGATATGTCAATTTGCACCCTACTAAATTGAAAATTGTTTATTTTTGATTGAAACATAGTTTAAGCAATTATTTCCTTGGGTAATTAATTATTTGTCGGTTTATAATGTGGAATATTGTACATTATAAAAACGCGTCAACCGTTTTGTACGACGTTTAGATTTAATTAGGGCTTCAGTTCAGTAAAGGCGATGACATAGCCTATATATAATTCAGTTCAAGAAATCCGGATATTCATATTCTCCACTTTAATTTCTGGGTTCTTTCATTTGTGTTTCTTTTTCTGTCATTTGTAAGAAATGGCCCTCCTTCAATCTGTGTCCTTTAAATCCTCAGCTGCACCACTGAACATCCATAATGCTCATCATCACAAGCCCATGAACCCTATGATAAGGCCCTTAGCAAATAAAAAACAAACCATTATTACTATTCCTCTTCCCTTAATATGCTGCAATAATAAAAACCAATCTGTCACTACTTTAAGCGTAAGTCTGTTCTTTACCTCTCTCAATATTTATGTAAATTGGTCTAATGTTCTGAGCTAACAGAAATTTGTCAGAATGTACGTGCAGGATGACTATGGAGTTGGAGCTGCAACAGCTAAACTGAAGATTTTGAAGCATGTTCTTAGAGAAATTGGAGACTCCTATGAATGTTTGAACCTAATTGATGCAGCCCAACGCCTTGGTATTGACTACCACTTCCAAGAAGAGATTGAATCTGTTTTGCATAAGCAATACATCTTATTTAATGCTGTTCAATTTGACCCACACACTGATCTTCCCAAGGCTTCCCTCCTTTTCCGACTTTTCAGACAACAGGGTTATCCTGCCTCCGCAGGTTGTTATTCTGTTCTTTAATCTCGTCAAAAGGCTTAAGCTAATGAGTTATGGGCAAATTTTATTTTTTTATTGGTATTTTGAATGCAGATGTGTTCAAAATTTTCTTGGACCACGTGGGGAAGTTTGATGAAGAGCTGAGACATGATATCAAGGGGCTGACGAGTTTATATGAAGCTTCACAACTGTGCATGCATGAAGAAGACATACTTGAAGAAGCTGAAAGTTTCAGTAGCCATTGGCTGAGCGCTTGGGCTGTGCACGTGGATCATCATTCCGCCGCTTTTGTGCATAATACTTTAGCCCATCCATGTCATAAAAGCGTGGCGCAATTTATGGTGCCCAACTATTTCGGAGATATCCAATGGACCAACAAATGGATACATATTTTGCAAGATGTTGCAAGATTGGATTTTAATACAACCCAACGCCTTCGCCAAAACGAAATTGCTCAATTTTCAAAGTAAGTGTTCAAAAGAATTATTAACAACTCATATATACGATTTATTGATGTTGGTTTTTGTTGATTAGATGGTGGGAAGAAACAGATTTGGCCAAAGAGTTGAGCTTTGCCAGAAATCAACCAATTAAATGGTACATGGGCTCCCTAATTTGTCTCACGGATCCCTGCTTTTCCGAAGAAAGAGTCCTACTTGCAAAGTCCATCACCTTTATTTATCTCATTGATGACATTTTTGACGTCTTTGGGAGTCGTGATGAACTGACCTTGTTCACACAACTTGTTTGCAGGTTGGGAAGCTAACTCAATATGTCGTTTTTATTTTGAAATTAAAGTTCAAATTTGATTTATTTTATTATTACATTATTGGACTTATTATTATGCCTATGTGCAGATGGGATTTGGTTGGTGGTAAAAAATTACCAAATAGCATGCAAGTAGTCCTCAAATCTCTATTTGAAGTTACGAATGAAATAAGCTACAAAATCTATCAAAAGCATGGTTGGAATCCAGCTAGCTCTCTAAAGAAGGCGGTATATTATTTCTAATTTATTCATCAATTATGATCAACAGACCTTATTTCCAATCAATACATAGATCAAATTTCATTTTGCAAACCCTTTTCAAAGGGAGAATAATTCAATATTCCCTTTTGGGTGCAGTGGGCTAAATTATGCAAGGCATTTTTAGTGGAAGCAGAATGGTTGAGTTGTGGACATTCACCGAGTGCAGAAGAATATTTGAGAAATGGAATTGTTAGCACTGGTGTCCATGTTGTTTTAGTACATGTTTTCTTTTTGTTAGGGGAGCGAATAAGCAAGCAAACTGTGGAGCTTTTGGAGGATGATTTAGATATTATTTTGTCTAGTGCAACAATATTGCGACTTTGGGATGACATGGGAAATGCCAAGGTGGAACTTATAATAATTAATACCTTTATACATGTGTACAGTGTTTAAAATCCATTTATTGTTGACGTAGACGTAAGACGATGATTTAATTTACTGGAGTTGAAAATGGTACTATGTTATATACTGTGTACAGGATGAGAATCAAGAGGGGCGTGATGGGTCCTATGAAAAATACTACATGAAGGAGCATCCAAGTATGTGCTGTAACATCACACGACAACATATGATGCGGAAGATTTCTGAAGCATGGAAGACTCTCAACAAAGAATCTCAGCTTTTATCTACCACACTTCCTGCCAAGTTCATTCAGGCTTCACTTAATATTGCCAGAGCGGTTCCTTTGACCTATAATTATGGCAGAAACCAATCCTTGCCAACATTTGAGCAGCTAATTGAACAGTTGCTCTTTCATAGTGTGGAAATCTAATAGAGATTGAAGTGTGTTTGGCATGCCATTTGAAATGTTTATAGACAAAAATGATAGTGTTTGTTTTAAAATTCTAATAAGTGGTCAAGAATGATTTTAATTAGGTTCTCTGTAACCGTTGCAGGACTCGACTGAATGGAGGGATGAAATCCCGGCTACGTGCCATGTAGGGCTCAAACTCTAGAAAGGGGTATCTCTATTCAACTACAAGCCCACTACGCCACCACATGCTCGTGGTAGCTTTGTGTGTTTCGATGTCATTTAATCTTTGATATAAAAGTTGTATATAGATGAATCCTTTTTTTATATGAAAAACTACTATGCATCAGTGTTTATTCTTAGATTTTTTCCTCTTAATTTTTTTCATTATTGTTATTAGGGTTTCTTTTTTGGGTTCATTTGTTACTAGGTTAAAATATGGGGATGAATTCAAACCTTTTTACCTATTTTAAGAAAAAATTTACAAAATGTACTAAAAAAAACATTCCCATAAAGTAAAAATAAGGAAAAATTGTAAATATGATAAAAATATTTAGCAAAATAGCAACAATATTTAGTTTTTCCCTCAAATATAACCATTTAAAAAAACAGAGGTCCAATTTTAAAATGACAACTTTACACAAATGATATATATCTATAATATATGTAATATATCTAACTACTATTATACATTTGATACATTAATGATATAGGTGTATCTGTGCAATATGTATGTGATATATATTTGATATACTTTAATATAAGTGAGTAAAAATTTGTGTTATATTTAAAAATAAAAAAAAAATAGGTGACATATTTTACTACCCATCCCAACTTTCCTAAAAATAATTAAGTCACACAAAAAATGGGGTTGAGGTTAGAGAGAGTGGGAAATGAAATTCAATGAGGGCCGGCCGAAAAGCTGAAGCTTCCAAATTTCAATCAAAAGACCATCACCAAATTGGTCTCCGCTTTGACTCATCCAATCCACTAAGTAAAAGCTTATTAAAAATTAATTTATATATATTATATGATATATAGTTGTTCCAAAAAAAAAAAACAAGGTTGAATCATGTGTAAAATATCATCAGTGGTACGTAGAGTTTATTGAAAACCATCATTTAGAAAATACCTATAGCTGTAGAAGAATGAGCCTACCTATTATTTATTTATTTATTATATCAATTGAAATATTAATTAAAAAGTTAAAATGCTGTAGAAGAATGAGCCTACCTATTATTTATTTATTTATTATATCAATTGAAATATTAATTAAAAAGTTAAAATGCTGTATGAAGAGTTAAAAATTTTCTATGATAGGTTGATTTAAAAACTTTATAGAAAGAATTGTTATATTAAAACGAAGAAAATCAAAAACTTTAAAACTATATGCTTTTTAATCTAAATTTGATGTTTCAAGATCAAGAAGAATAATCTATCCTTGATTCATAGAACAATATTATTTCCATTTTAGCTAGATGACCTTATATTTGAACAATATTTCCCTTTTAGCTAAAATGAAAGTTGACCTTATATTTAAGAATCTATCTCCCTCAACTAAACACACCAATCATTAGGACCAAAACTCTTTCTATCCGATTGAAAATTAAATAGAGAATTAAGTACATGTTTAGTTTAAGAGTTTAAGAATATGATGTGACAGAATACAGCACAATGTAGTAATTAATGTGAAAACTTGTCTAGATTTGATATAAAAAGAAAGAAATGTAAAAGGAGCTAATCACTTTTAAAACACTCCAATCAAAATTTTCTATTTAAAATATTGATAGATTTTTGTTTAAGAAGTAATTTTAAAATATTTATGAATTACCTATAACATTGGAGCCTTTTTCTCAATAATGTTAATTTGTTAGAGCAATTCCCTTATATTAGACTGCCTCAAAAAAAAAAAAAATTCCTTTATATTAGACTACTATTATAGACAAAAGAACTTCCTTATAGAGATAATTGCCTTATACTCAAATCTTAAATGTGGACGTCAATAGAAATATCGAAGTCTTCATTTTGATGAAAATATTGATATACAATGTGGATGTGAGAAAATATTTAGAGTAAAAGTCAAAATTGGGCCGCGATTCTTTTCATTGCACTTTATTTTCCAACTGTTACAAATATATATAATAACTTGCACAATATCACTTAAATAGGATGTAGTGGGCTGCAGTACGAGGCTGGACCAAAATCATTAGTAAGAAAAATACATAAAACCAAGCTCAAGTTAATGTTGTTCTTTCTCAGATTCCAACTATGTCGATGAATATTCATGATAATCAGAATGATATGATATTATATGTTTTAGGTGTATAACTTGGACGACTTTACTTTTAGTATTTACACCCAAAAAGTTTCATACGAAGAGAGAGAATTGTCGCACTTATATATGAATTATTTCATTGGATAACTAATGTAAGACTTTGTTGGCTCTCAATTGCAACGGTCGTAAAAATAAAAAAATTCATAACAAATGTTTAAGTTACCAAATAAGCATTTCACAATTTCTAAATGTGTCAAAAATGATTAATATTAATATTATGTCTATATTAGTGATATTTTGTTATTTTTCATATTTTATTGATTTTTTTGCAATATTATGGAAACGTCGAGTTACCCTATTGTGTCGATGTCAAATCTATGGACACATAAAAATATTGATATCACTACAAGAAATAAGCTATCTCCAGACGCTAGAAAATGTCAGAGGAAACCAAAAAATAGTCAGAAAATACTTTGCGTGACGTTTATGTACGTCGAGGACAAAAATCTGTAAAACCGCATCGGGGGAGCTAGGTACTTGCCGACGGTTTTAAGATTCCCGTCGGAAGAGATAATATTTACCTGATTAAGTCAAACAGTCGGACAAAGAAGACATCAGCCGTTTAAAAATAGTCGGGAAAGCTTTCCTCACGACATACATGTCGATAGAAATTTAATATTCTACTTTTTTCATAGATCTCACTCTTCTTTAATTAATGTATAACTTCGTTTGCGCTCTTACCATCACAACTAAAAAGAAAGGGTAGCAGGCATGAGACAGAAAAATAAAGGCGGGAGGACCCTGAGAGAGAGATTGCAACAACCGAAAGAACTTGCTAATGTGGTTGTCACATGCTTATAAGGTTAATGTCAATCAAGATGGGATTTTAAGTTTTATTTAGAAATTAATCCAAATATAAATTTCCTAAAATTACCTTTTAAACTAGTGAAAGTCAAAGAAACAAAACAACTTTTTGGAACTACATATTATAAAATTTATGTCATAACCAAAATTTGCTAAAATAACCTTTTAAAAAGCTATTAAAAGAAAAAAAAATTTGGACCTACATATGGCAAAAATACCTCAGTAAAAAATGGGGATGAAGAATGGAATCCCTGCCCGCCTGACCTTGCCTCACCCAAAATATTTCAATATTAATTTTTGAAAAATACTTGGTTTGTGATTAGTAAGGAGGACACCATTATTAAATATTTGACAATTAAGAGATAAATGCAAAAACAAAAAGTGTTTTTATAAAATGATGAGTTGTTAAATATTAAATGGTAGTGTGGACAAGATTCATCTTTACTCAGTCAAGTATTTTCCTTAACTTTTATCTTTATTTTCAATATTCAAATATTGACATAAAAACCCTAGATTCTGTTAGAATAATATTTCTTGAGTGGACAATCGAAAGTTACACACATTTATTTTTGGGGAAAAGAAATGATCTCTTTTTTATTTATTTGCTTTTTGGTAAAACAATTTAGTAGTTGTCGACAGAATCTTCAACTGCCCAATCAATAAAAAAGTAATTTTTTTGTTCATTTATAGTTTATTATCCCCCAGCAGGTAGAGACAACACCTTTCTTTCTGTTTTTATATGAAAAGATACATAGGTGGCGATGGATAAAACACATACATGTCTTGTATTCACCACTAAAATTTTTAAAAATAGACTAAATAAATGTAAAAGTAAATATTTTTTTCCAAAAATTAATCAACTTGTCAATTTTTCAATAATAATGGCTCTCCATTCAGCATTTAAATAATGTTATTTATATATATTGTTGTCGATTTCTTGCCCTTTTGCCATAACCATCTTGTCTGCCCAGTGCCCGGTGTTGTCTCTTGCTTTCACTCACACATTTTTTTTTTCCTGTATTGTCACCTGGTAGTTGTGACCACACTCTCCCATTTGGCCTCGTTGCCGTTCTGATTTGGACCTCATAGAAACAATGATCTAATATATTGAAGCACAAAATTAAAGTTTCTTTTTTAATGGTTTATTTCAAGGAATCTTTATTAAAATTTTATTTATAATCAAATATAAGAAAAATAAGAACCTCATCAATAAAGTTTGAACTCAGATTTGTTGGAATTAACCATATATCTCAGGTTTGTTGAATTCAGATTTGTTTGAATCATTTTATAAGTAACATACCTCTGAAATTTATCTAAAAATATATATTATTTATGATTTAAAAAAACAACTTAGAAATTTACATGGAAAATATTGACATGTTCACATAAAAGTTTAAAAATTGAGGGTAACAATGTCACGTGCACCGCGGCTCTGTGGAACCACAAAATTTCACGACCATTTGAGGTCTCTATCTTGTTTCTTTTGTCAATCATTTTACACTGTTCAAATAAACTTGATTTGTCGCAGAAAATGAAAAAAAATATATAAAAAAGACACTAAGTCACATCTTACTTAATATAGTTTGCTCCACCTGTCATTTGAATGGCTCCGACTTTTTAGCTACACCATTTGATCCTGAATTTCAACATCCCACCAAATATTTCCTACAATGAGTGGGAAAGAAAAATTATTTAATATAATGAGCTACCACAATATGCTCGTCTCTAAAAAATCATGGGATATAATTTAGAAATTTGGATACCACCTAATATATTATTGGATGGATACAAAAATCGAAATACATTTGTAATTTCTCTTTTATATATCTTGAATTATGTAGAGCTATTATTCACTTTGTAGCATCCTTCTTTAATAATATCTCGTTGTTACTAACGTTAATTGTATCACTACTGATGTGGGACGACGTTGCTTGGTTTGCTTTATATGTTTTCTTTGGTTAATTAAGTTATCAATTAATGTCGGGAAATTTTTCTTTTCACAAGAATGTCCAAACACATACCACAATATGTAAATAAGGAGAAAACTATAAAACACAATAATATTGCCAAAATCTCCCCAATCTATGCCGCCAACACGGGAGCCGCTGCCACAAATATGCTAACGGAATTCCTATCAAATTTGACTGCTAAAAACCTAATTCACGGCTCCTCCTTTGTTCCACCGTCACCCA